GTGTGCCCTCAAAGACTTTTGGCATATTCGACATGAGCCAAGATGGCTGGTGTCTTTTAGTGTTTCATCGCGATTGTTTGTCACTGTCTTGTGTCATCGTCCAAATCCGAAAAAGAAGAAAAAAAAAAAAAAAGAAAAGAAAAGCCGCATGCGTGGTGGATTTGGCTACGCATGCGGTTCACGCAGAGGAATGGGGTTCAAATCCCGCTCGTCCCGGACCCTTATTTTATTCATTGTGTACTCTTCCAAGAAATAAACTGTAGTAAGAGCCGGGCGAGTTGATGATGAAAAAATAGCGCTTGTCTTTCTTGTGTGTTTGGTTCCTGTCCCTGCCTTCGTCTTTTCTTGCGCTATTTTTTTCATCGTGTTCTGAGAAATCCCTGCCCATTCACGGCTGTCATCCAGTGTTCTTGTTCAGAACAATCCTGAACGTTCCGAGTGTATGAAAGTAGCGGTAACGCGCTGCCTCTGGTCATTCATCTTCCGTCGCCGACACAAGATGCGTGGCACCTTTTTCTTTATGTTTGTAGGTGCAAGTTCACCTCATTAAACGTTTATTTTCCGTTCTAAATTCATGTGACTTTCCTTGTTGGTGACAACACTGCACCAGGCGGAAACAGGGGCAGATCCAAGGGGGGGGGGGGGGGGGGGGGGGGGGCGACGGGGGCGCCCCACCTCCCCCCTTCTCGGAGGGCAATTTGACATGGGTGGACCCCCCCGGTGCACACGAAAGAATGGCCCTCCCCCCTCCCCCAAAACGGAGCTCCGGATCCGCCCCTGGGCGGAAAGTGGAAATAAATCAACGTGGAAAGAATTATGTGCCCGGAATAGCCGGCAATCTATCCTTATAGATACGTCTTGAACGGAATCAGCCACTAATAATAACATTACGTGTTATGCTTCTACTCACTGACAACACAGTTATATCTGAAGGTACCTAAGTATATCGCACTCCCAGGTCAACCCTAAAATTTCTGCGAAATTGTTTAGGAAGTTCCGAAGTTCTTCCTTTGATCGCAGTGTCCTCATGAAATGGTGACGGAGAATGATAAAGTTATCAATATGTTGCGATCGCCAAGCACTCGTTATCTCATCCTTTTTTTTTTTATCTTTGAATTTTGGTTTTGTTTTTTCACTCGGCACACATCCAGATTTGTCGGAAATTAGCACAGGGCATAAGAGTAAAAGGTAAATACGCCACGTGGAGCCAGATAAGTTAATTAGAAGCGTCTGTCACAAATCTCTGGCCATGGCATGGTGGAAGAACAAACTACTGATATACGGGGTAGTGTTGGGACCGGAGTGGTGAAGATCGCGATAGGTTTCGACATCGGCGCATAGGCAGTAGGGTCAGTATGGTGGTGGTTGTGCGCGTGCACCGCGTGCACGCGCACGTGCCGCGGCACGTGCGAATTGCAGCGACTTTCTGCTGCCCTGCCTGCAGCGCCGCGATTGTTGTCTACACGCGCAGCCTCACAAGCTCCCATTAACTGAAATCATTACGCTCTGAAACCAACACTGCCAACACTGTCAAAATTAAAGTTCTTACATTACTCTTATTTTTGTCAATGAGAAATCCTTTGCTGACGTCATAGTCAACATTCAGCCAATCGTGGAAGGCCGACCACAGCGACGCTTTCGATCGCGCACGTCGCCATACTTGTAATAAACGTATTGCTAAATTGCCCAAGTATCAAGGAGAATGCTGGGAATGTATGCTATGTACACGCTCCACACGCGCTCACATTCCCCGTATACGGTATTCGAAGTAAATAACCAAAATGAAGCGTTGACGAACACGCGTGCAAGATGCCTGTTGTATTAGTCATTTGCTTTAGAACAGTTACTGTTGCAGACGCCAGCACGTGAAGCGCGTGTAACTACACTCGCAGCATGCTCCTTGGTGCTTGGGTAATTTAGCAAAAGGTCTATTGCATGCAGTTGCCTGCACTTGTTACAGGCAAGTGCATGCAATCTTGCAGGCAAGTACGTGCAACTTGCTTGCAATCGTCTATAACAATTGCAAGCAAGTGGCCCTGTAGTCTATGGGCGATTGCAAGCAGGGCATCTGGCCGTCGCCATGTCTCTGCTCGGGAGGACAAGCCTGCCAAAGGTTCACGCGCAAGTTCCACGTGGTTGCACTCCTGAGGCACCAGTCGGGCGCCATGTTTCAGTAGTAAATTCTGATGCCCGCCAGTACCCTTTCGAAGTTAGGGTGCCTGAATGTCCTTTTTTTTAGGGTGATTCCATAATTTGCACACATCCGTATATTGAGAGTTGGGCCGCTTATTGTGGAGGCGCCATAGGCCGAAAATGAGGCGGCGCCATAGGCCGAAAGCGTGCTGGGCGTGTTCCAGGGTGTCTCCACAAATTCGAATGTGGCCAGCCAGAAGTCGCGAACAATGCCCTGGCGGTGGTCGCGAGAAACAAAAGTAATAAGTACGTCAAAGTAACTCTAGGTGACTGAAAATATGGTGCACGTGATTTTTCGATCACGGCCATGCAAAATCACATTCCAGGACAACGATCGACGTGATTCGCACGCCAGGTGCTGAGGACCGGGAAAATGCCGTCCGAGCGGTCAAGCTCCGACCGAGCAAAAGAGGGTTCGAGCGGCACATTCGATGCTTACATCTTTTTGCATGATCATAATCGAAACATCACGTGCACTATATTTTCCACCATGAAAAGTTACTTCATTTAATTCTTACGCACTTATTAAAATGTTTCGCGCTACCACCACTAGGTGATTATTTCCGGCTTCTGTTTGGCCAAGAGAGCACGTCACGCATTCTATCTCCGTCTCGTGCACGCCCTGGCTCTGCCCGCTCCTCCCATTGTCCAAACTCTTTCTATATACGGCTCTGCAACTTTTCTTGGCAATGCAGTGGAAGGTACAGGCACGCGTTTCCTCTCTCATTTTGAGCGAAGTAAAGCTGTGCACGGGGTCTCCTCCTCTCTCCATTTCCGGGGAGAGGAGGAGAACCCGCGCGCACTCATAATGGAAGAGGGAACGCAGGCCTGTACCTTTCACTGCATTGCCAAGAAAAGTTGTCGCGGAGTATAGTAGTAGTAGTACCCGATGCCGACAGTGCGCGCACAGAGCAAACCCAAAGAAATCGTCGAAAACAAAATGTCGCCGTAGCACAGTCAGCGCCACGAGCACGTGTAGGGACACGCTTTTTTCAGGGATTTCAAAAAAAGAAAAAAAAAAAAAAAAAAAACGTTCGGAACAAAATGACCACATCACCCTAAGCAAAGCGCACATGAAGGCACCCATTCGAAATAAAGTGAGAAAAAGCGCCGACGTCATATTCGCGCTTGTTGTGCAGCTCACCTCTTACCATACTTGTGCCTGTTGCGTGAAAAATGTAATGGATTACAAAAAGGAGTTTTAGCAGACCGCGTTTTCCCTTCCGCTAAGCCCACCGCAACGAAGAAGCCACTACTGCGCCTGCGCGCCGATGGCCTTGACTGTAGAGTTCCGGGTACCGTGGCAGATTGCGGAGAGCGTTGCGGGACGGCGAAAACTATCTACAAAAACTCTCTAATAACAAATTACCGAGCCTCAAACGTAATGAATTACCGTTACAAATTAGTTTCACTGAAAAGTACCGGATTACTTTACTGGTTACGTTACAAATTACTTTACCGTTCTTACTTTTCCCGTACACTTATCGAGAAAACAATAAAAAACAATTTTGATGTTTAAAAAATGTTTTGCCACACTATTTCCCATTCCTCATACGCCCGCAAATATAAAATATTGTATTTAAGAGAAAGAATGTATAGGTGCACTCCGTTTACCTGCAAGCTGGCAAGGTAGCGAAAGCTGCAACCACACCCGCCATCCCGCTAGCTTACGACCTCCGGAAATTTTCCCTGGAATTCTGCAGACAACGCTAGCGGTGCGCATGCTCAGTAGCAGCATCTACCTCCGCTAGAAGATTCGGAGGTGAGGAATCGATCTATAGGAAAGCTCCCTTTTGAAACGGACCTTTCAAGGATGAGTACAACGTCTCGAAGCTCCGGTCTCGTGCCTGTAGCTTTGACGCACTGTCAGCTTATGCATGAACATTTGCATGCATTTGCACATTTGCATGCAGTACTTAAAAATGCATGCGCTGCATGCGTTGTCTTCTTAACCTTTTTTTGTGTGTGCATTTTTGTATATGTATTGCACCTTTTCCTAGTGGTTCAAGTGACCGGTCATACAAAAAATCGTGTTTTCTTTTCGGTTAATTATTCTCCTTTTCACGATGCTTTCTATTTTGCTGAACTTGCTATCTTTATGTTGCTGAATTGCCTGCCCATATTGCTCGAGCTTCTGTATTACGTTCTAATTTTTAAGAAATAACGAGTAATTATAGTAATCAATCAAATTTGGGGGTTTTACGTGCCAAACCTACGACGGGCATCTGGCACGCCCCAGCGGAGGACTGAGGATTAATTTCGACCACCTGGGGATCTTTTGACGTGCAAATGAAAGCTCGCGGTTACACGGCGCCTTTTCCGCAATAAGCCTCCGTCATATTGCGGGCACCTCGGTCGGGATTCGAACCCGCCACCTGGGGATCCGTAAGCCGGCGCTCTCGCCTCGGAGCCACCGAGGCGGCAGTAATTATAGTAATCCGTTACCAATAATAGTAACGAAATTACATTGCAAATTACTGCCGCAAAAAGTAACGCGGCAGTTCTTAAAAAAGTAACGAATTACAAGTAATCCGTTCCTTGTAACGGATTACTTCTCAAGTTTGCCTCTTACCTTCAAAGCTGGCTTCACTGCGCAGGCTCGCAGGCGCTAGCTCGCGATCACAGCGCTCGCTCCAATCAAATACAGGCAGGAAAACGAAATATAGGTGAGAATATTGGGTACTAAATAACATTGGTCATTACTGTCGTGTCGTGATCATACTGCTTACGTGTTATTTCTCAAAATAATGGCGGAGCGAGGGAGGGAAACCCGTTAATGGAAAACCGTTAATGTTCCGCGTGACCCTCATTGGGAAACGGCGCCAAGTAGGCAAGAAAGTTCGAAGACGCACGCAGAAAATATAGATAAGATACGGGCATAGACAATTGACTCGTGGAAGGGGGGAAAAGATATGAACCCTCTTCAGTAAACCACCATATAGACCAAGACTGCCGCTCACGCATACTATATTCACGCTCCGATACAAAATAGCCCCCGCAAGCACAACATTAGGTAAGTCATCCCTATCGGTGCGTGTATCCCCAAAAATACAATTCGATGAAACGTTTGCGCGGTGCTCGGCTAATTGCAGCGGAGCAAGCGAACTGAAGGACGGTGAAGCGGATAGCAGGATGGACTCTCAAGGCTTGTCTTCCGTTATCGTGATTGTGTTTTCGGAACTGGGAGACAAGACGTTCTTCATCGCCGCCTTGATGGCCATGCAGCATGCCAAGTCATCCGTCATCGTCGGGGCCTTCTCCGCAAATGTTGTGATGACTGTTTTATCGGGTGAGCTTCGACGGTTCCTTTACAATTCGGTTAAAGAGAGAAAGAATTAAGGCAAACTATGGTCATTGACAAAAGGAGAGTGAAGGGCAGGGCGCGTCTTTGAACGCCCGAGTCGCTGAAGCGTTGTCGAAGGCATTTGGAGCGCAAGTTCGTCTGCTTCTTTTGCAGGGGTTGTGGTGACGTCAGAAAGACTCCAAGCTCCGATTGGCTCCGATTGAGAGATAGTGGGTATACATAAAAGCAAGCTGCCTTGAGGTCTACCCACTATACTTCAATCAGAGCCAATAAGAGTTCGGTGTCTTTCTGACGTCACCACAACCCCTGCAAAAGTAGCAGACGAACTTCAAGGTCCGCATATGGTCCTCGCGCTGCAGGATAAGTGAAGCTCCTTTGCCGCGTTTGCTATCCCCGGCTAAACCAATGGCTTACGAAGAAAAGCTCCCGTGGCCGTACTCACTGTGCGCGATTGTTTTAGTCGATGATTTAGGCGATTGGAAAGACGACGAATGCATGACGATGTGTTTTTGCCGCTGCTTGGTTGGCTCCATGAGACCGCGTCTGCTGGGGTCGGACCTAATGTGAAACTGCGCCCCTTAGAGCTTTCTGTTGATTCTGTCGGTTTGCTTCTCTCGTAGCGATGGTGGGGTCAATGGCCTCTGTGTTGCAGAAATCGCACACGCATTACCTTTCCGTCTTCTTGCTGCTCCTCTTCGGTGCGAGGATGATCGCGGAAGGTGAGTCCAGCGGATCCCTCTTAGTGAACATAATATCTTTAACACGTATGTGCGCGTATCGTTCTCCAGGCTACACAATGAACGAAGCGGACGAAAAAAGTATCATCAAAGACGCCGAAACAGAGGTACACACTGATTTCTACGCCCGTCGTGCCTCACTACGGGTAAACAAATCTTATCCGCGATTGCCGAGTGCAGAGTATGGATACAATGTAAAACATTTCTGATACGTTTACACCAAAGTTGTACAGACTGATGTTCTCGTTCTGAAATATTCGTACCTATAAGAATACTTGGCTGTAATGCCGTGCTGATCCGACCAAGGATACCTAAAAGACTTCAAAGTATATTGTAAAATGGAGGGAATATTAAGGGATGTGCATCATCCATGCTTGCGATATGATTGCCATATAGCTGCATAGGAGGCTAATACCAAAAAAACAAATAAAAAAGAAAGAAAAAATAAAGTCTTAAGATATATCAGATCCAGCTAAGCCCTTTTGCGAGAAACAATAAAATATCATTGTAAGTCAATGTGTAAATACAAATATATATGTACGTATATATAGTTTTCTTATTTGTTTCTTCTTAAACAATATTTGCCACAGTGGTTCACTCTGCCGTTTGTTGGTTTTGCTTGAGCTAGGCTTATTCTGGAAAAGGGGGGGGGGGGGGGGGGAAGGATTTTTTAACCTTTTTCACTCAGATGTAGCACCTCGCTGTACGTCAGGAGTTTCCCCAGGGATTTAAATTAGGGCGGGGGGGGGGGGGGGGGGCGGGAGGGGAAGGGGGAAGGGGGCACTAAAGAGAGAGTCGTTGCGAATAAAGAGGGTGCCTTCAGAAAAACAAGGGGGGGGGGGGGGGGGGTTTGCTTCCCCTAGGTGGTGTGCAGGGAAATCATTGCTGTACATGTTCGGGCGCGACACTGGCCATTAATCAGTTTCCTTTTGCAGACGACCCAGTCCAGTTCGTATTTGGTGAAATTGGCGGGAAACTCGGGTCTGGCGCAAACGTTCTTCCTGATCTTTGTCGGAGAGTGGGGCGACAGGTCCCAGATAACCACCATTGCAATGGCGGCCAACGAGGTACGCGATCCGACGTTGCGGATAATCGCTTATCGCAAACAAGTTTTCCATTGTTTGTTCAGGGAATCGCTAGGGTGCTCATCGGCGCTATCTTGGGACACGGGCTGTGCGTCTGTGTTGCAGTTTACGGAGGCCAGTTGGTTGCCCACAAGTTGTCCATTCGTTCAGGTAGCAATCATTTGTGGACTTACCTATACGTTGCACCCCGTTTCACTGCAACTGGCAAAGGGCGAACGCTACGGCCCCCTCGAACCAATCAGAGCGACGGAGGCGGAGCACGTGACAGCCCTTACTAAAGAGAGGCCAGAGCGTAACCCAATCACTTGGAGAAGATGGGAAGGAGGAACTCCTCTTTTACCCAGACCCTCTCTTCTGTGACACAGACGTCGCTTTTGTCCCCCTCGGAGATTAGCCTGTTGCTCAAAATTCGCTCAGAAGCAGTGTTTCTCTCCCACCCGTGGCATCGGCAGCGCTGTTCGCAGCTCAAGAAATTTATACAAATTAAAAAAGAAAAGTTATGGTAGTGGCGCAAGCTGTCGCCCATTACAAAGGTATAGCCATTACCATCCATTCATCCATCTGGAAAGAAGGACATTTTGCGCACTGTTCATACGCCGCGCGAAGTTGTTCTTACGAGCTTTGGTTGTCCGAGGAAGAAGCGATGCTTTTGGCGTTTGAAACGTGGCCTTTTGATAAGATAAGTTATACACAATCCAAAATGCACCTAAATATACCTTAGCTCTCTACTTAAAGGGGGAAATTAGTAATGTTCCGCGAGGAGCCGGATTTTTTTTACTACCGTTCTTGAGGAGAAAACACCGGTCTTGAACAGAAAACGAGTATTGAGACAGAGCATAGTCACATGTCCGACACGCTGATTGGCTCGCTGGAACCGTAGCCTTCGCTGTTTGCCAAGTTACGGTGAATCTGTAACGGAGCATAGCTGTGCTGCAACCTGTTCATTCGCCTTACTTTCTCTTTTCAGTTACATTTTTGGGAGGCTTCGTTTTCTTGTTGTTCGCGATCTCCAGTGTCCTTATGGGCCCCTGACATTTGAGTTCAAGATCACGAAGAAAACTTGATTGTTTCATTTCACCGTATAGGTTTGTTCGAATAAACTAACGCATTTCTGCTTATGTGATACCTTAACACTTTGAACTTAAAGTATATATGTGACGATGGTTTCTAATAAAATCAGTTGAGAGTTAGAGCCTGTCTTGTCGTCTTTGTGTATTTATTGCACTCGTTTTGTTCGCGCTTTTGACCTTTTCAATTCAATATAGAAAATCTGCGGTGAAGGAGGAGCTCAGAAAAATCGGCTTAGGTAGATAAATTTAATCTTACACTAAATTACTGAAGAATGTACGGGACGTACATTCTTCCGTATACAGGTTTACAAAACTTCATAGCTATGAAGAAAAAAAAGTTTTTCTTTTACCGCAAAAAAAAAAAAAAAAAAAAAAGTAACTACACATCACCGAACGTTTTTTCCCCCCAAATTATTTTACTTAATTTATTTATTTATACATACTGCGACCTGATATGAGGTCATTGCAGGAGCGGAAAACAGAGATACATAAAATACGGATACATGTAGCGATAACGGTCCGATTAGGTGCCAAAGTATCGGAAAGAACCGCCATCTTATTAAAATGTTATAAGTGACCTGAAATTTTCAATGGCAAATGGCAGCCGATGACTCCCTCGAATACATGGAGCTTTGAAGCCAGGGCCGGATTTATGGTTTAGGCTTGGGAAGCCAGGGGGGGGGGGGGGGCACATTAGGTATGTGGAGGGAGCAGTTTTATATGAAATTGCTTTTTATTACACATATATCAGTTGCATTTTAAAGTAAAGACCGGCTCATGTTTCTACTGATTTTCTCTGCTGGTTTGCTTCCTGTTCAAGTTTCCCATTCATGCCCCTCTTCGTGATTTATGCTGTTGTTTCTCCTCATTTTTTTTAAATCGGATTGTGGATTTTCGGTTTTCTTTCCCATTGATGTGTTATTAAATTATCCATAGATGCATATGAGAAATGTGCATAAAAATAAATGACCATGTAGCCATGGAGCGACATAATAACATTTCAGTATGTCTTTTTTCTTCTTTGCAGGTTGTGAGCTTTAAAAAGAAAGCGCTTGAACGAACATATTGATGACAAAGCAACAAATCAGTGACAGTGTACTAATTATATTTTGACCGCCCTGCTGCAATTTCCTGACCACATGTCCCGCGTACAGAGAGGACGGTTCCCTTATTTTCGAGTGAACAAAAATGACAACATAGTTTCTTCCATCACGGAGGAATCAGACTCTCTTCGGTGTAGTTTCAAAAACAGTGCGAAGTATGACTTCTCGAACCAAGTAGGGTGTCACGAAGGAGCTATATAGTGCTCTAATTGTTGTAACATACGCCTGTTGACAGTGAATGCGCGGGAACTCGCTTTTCAAATAGCGAAGCGCGGTCACAAAAGAAAATTTACACGATATTTTTTACCGCAAAAATAATCTAGGCATCGCTGAACGCTCATTCTCCGCCCAAAGGTAGCGCTAGAGGTCACAACCAGATGCCAAAGTTTCAGCCCGATTCGATAACTTAATCAAAAGTTATAAGCGATTTTCTGAAAATTTCAATGGGAAAATGGCGGCCGACGGAGTTTCCGAACACATGGGGTTCTATGGCACCAGAAACCGAAAACGGGCAAAAACAGGCTCCATTTTCCCATTGAAATTTTCAGAAAATCACTTATAACTTTTGATTAAGTTATCGGATCGGGCTGAATCTTTGGCATCTGGTTGTGACCTCTAGCTCTACCTTTGGGCGGAGAATGAGCGTTCGGCGATGCCTAGTTCATTTTTGCGGTAAAAAAGACCGTGTAAATTTTCTTTTGTGACCGCGCTTCGCTATTTGAAAAGCGAGTTCCCGCGCATTCACTGTCAACAGGCGTATGTTACAACAATTAGAGCACTATATAGCTCCTTCGGAGCAGAGTAGCGCAATCTAGAACGCCGCCTCTCGGCGACTAGCGGTGAACGCCCGGAGGTTCCAACTGCGGTCAGAAATGCATGGAGAACGTGAGACAGTCGCTGTTTCTTCAGTATTGTGGGGGTGTACGGAGTGGCAATTGTTTTTGACATAATAATGGAACATTTTAGAATAATTTGCGCTAAGTTTTGTGCCCCGCAAGGGCCTGAATTTTTTTAAAAAATTGCTTGAGCGGCATCATGCAGCAGACGACACGGCGACGTCACACCATTCACGTGACCCGCTCCGGCCAACCCGAAAAGCCCATCTCCGCTGCGAGCAAAATCGTCTGCTTCAAACGCCATTGCCTTGGAAATTGCCTTCTCAAAATTTGCACACGCATCCGATATTATTAAAACTTTGATAAAGTGTTTAGTGCTTTACTAACTTCACGGCAGACTAGTTTTGAAAAGTGTGAACTCGCCGTTCATTTTTTAATCAGCCGTGTTGTATCGATCTCCATGTATTCTCCCATAGGGCGGGCCGCCTCCTGGAAACCTGAGTACCACGTGAGTCGCGCCGAGCCGCTCTGTCGGCCATGTTGTCGGCAAAACACGGGGTTCAAAGGATTGCGCTACTCTGCTCCGTAGGAGCTAACAACAATCAGTTAGGTTGCCTATTTCAGTGACTCTAGGTTGCCGAGGTTGTTCCTGCAAATGAGACAGTACAGAAGCTCACATTTGCTTACACTACGAATACAAAGCATTGGAGCGCTTTGTGTATGTTCTTATTTCCCTTGTCCAGGATGTTTTTCGTCAGGTCAAGGCGCGCCAACACAACACTAGCGCCGCCACCACAGCTACTTCAGTGGGAGAACAAAATACCCGGTCAAGTCTAGCATAAAACGTAGGGTGCACGGAAAATTGTGACGTCACAGGTTTAGTCTCTGTGTCCAGTGTGTTGCTGGGGTGCTATGTTGCGCTTTTTGCACTCCCAGGAGACTTGGAAGAGGGAAGTGACGTCAACGACACAGCAAATGCAGATTGGATGTTGACAGAAGAAAACGAAATCAACATCCAATCTGCATTTGCTGTGTCGTTGACGTCACTTCCCTCTCCCTAGTCTCCTGGGAGTGCAAAAAGCGCAACATAGCCTCCCTGGTGTTGCCGTGTCGGCCGTGTCTTGTGGTGGTGGGTTTTTGCAAGGATCATCATCTCAGAATGTAATCTAGCGCCTTACGTCTCGTTCCCGCTGCATCTCCAGCTCCACGAAAATGCGGCTAGCACATCGACTAAAAATCTACGAGAGTTTAAAGGCTTAGTGCGGCGTAGTTCAAAGCCGACTCGAATTTTGCGGTCGATCGCATTGAATGACGCGATACGTTCATCAGCCGAATGCCATCAGTCCGTTCGGCCCTCGACTATCTTTAGTTTACTTGTCTAGTCAGCTCACCGCCCTGTGCACAGTACACATTCCGTTATGATCCCCCATATCATTTACATCCTGTTTTTTGTAACCGGGATTCACGCGTCGGCGATCGAGGAGCTCCAGGGTGCCGTACCGAATGCAGACCTCAGAAGCGTCCTCGAAGATGGCAAGGTATGCTGGTCGTTTTTTTTTCTACTTGAATATCTAGAACGACTTACGTGGAGTTTTTCGTATTCGCGGAACGCGGTGATAGCAGCAACAGTGCTGTACTATCACGTCACTGTAGCCGCCATCGTAAGTGCGTTTACACGGAGCGGTTGCACGACGCTTTCCGTGCGTTGAATTTGTGCTTCTTCGTGTCTTTTTGTTGTTAACAGTCATGCTACTTCCGTTCTGCCTTCATCGTGCCTCACAAAACAAAGAAATGAAAGGACTAAATTGCCTCGTAGATAATTTTGTATATTTTTTTTTTTAATGAAGCAGCGTATCTTTATCTTGTTTGTCCCTTTTTACTACCTCAGCCAACTGTTGACACGTGCTTCGTTCTTGTCGAAAAAGAGTTCGGTTTGAGCCGCGGTGTGAGATAGGGTCTCACCATGGCCTGAGCTGATCGGGCTACGATAGTGTATTGCTAGAAAACGCACCAGTGTTTGAAGAAGTAAAATGTTGGAGCGGCAGCCATCAATTCGGGATGCACCCGTTCGCCCGAGTGAGTTTAGCGCACCCGATGAAATTCGACGGGAGACAACTTTTGAGATTTAATTTATTAAAATTAGAGCGAGGTTAGCAAAGAAGGCGTAGAAACTGAAGACGAGCTGGTGAATCGTTCTCATAACGACCTGACACTAGAAAGTAAAATAGATTGAAAGGAACGTGGTCAATAAGTAACAATGTATATTCATTACTCAGGCTAGGTGGCACTAGCTACTGCTCAATACAAGGCATCCAGCCAGTACCATCTATCCATTTTTCCGTTGGAGCTGTTTTACGGGGTGGTCATTAAATTTTTCTTTGCTCGGCATAGACTATTTTGTTTCGTTGTTCAGGCTAGTGTAGGTTCCGCAGTGCTCCAATTCCGTCAAAGCTCAAATAATTTTGTGACAGTGCTTATTCAGTTTATAGAAAAAACGGCTTCAGGTGATAAGAATCCCCAATCAAAGCCTTATTTCCTGTTTTTTCTTTTTTTACAAAATGATAGGCGGGAAGTTGCCTTGTCAACAACGGCTTTTAATTTAAACGATTTGGGCAGAGGGATTGAGAACTGATGTTCTCTTTTATATGTCTTCCTGCTTTCCGAATTCTCGTTGCCCCTTGGTTGCGTCTACAGTAGGACGGACGCAAAGGGGGAATGGGCAGGTTAGGGTCTGCTTAGGGCGATCCAATCCTAAGTTTACCGTTTGGCTATTAATTTCTTTAAGCAGCTGCTTCCAGATTGGCCATGTGCTGGCCGAAAGTCGCATGTGGGCTTTTGGACAGTCTTACTAGAAATGTTGGAAGCTACACCTTATACCCTGTTTCACTATACAACGGACCACAGCGAGCCTTTCCAACCAATCCAGCGCCTGAACGTATCATGTGCCTACATGCCCCGCGTGTCATTGTGCCTCTCCCAAACCTCACGTGACACTCGCATGGCTTTGGATTAGCTCCGATGGCTTGTAGCGTCCGCTGCGGTTCATTTTAAAATAAAATATTGGAACTGGAACTTTGACTTTTAAAACGTTTCAGAAGGTGACTGCGCACTATTTCTAGCAGTAGGTCTATTTGAGGGGAGCTGACTCAGTGTCATTGTGTTTGGGGGCTAGAGTCGCAAGGTAGCCCAGCTCCAGATATTTCTGACTTGTGACTGAGGAATTGCGGTGACCACGCGTGCAACTAGAGATATGTGTGGTATTGTGTTACCTAATAGGCGGAATTCATTCAAACTCGAGTATGGCAAAAATGCCCTCTGGAAAGCGCATAAAAGTTTGGTTGAGGGAGGTTCAAATAAAGCATAAAGAAATGGGTCAGTACATAAAAGAGCCCATATTTGTTATTTGAATCTAGTAACTCAGATTTGGACTTTGTTACAGGTCGAAACATACAAGTTACTGCTTACTGTTCAATACATCACTGGAGCTCACTGGAAAATTAAACTTTCGCCCAGACTGATCAAAAGGAAGGGAACCACGAAGCGATCAGAGACGAGGGCTTCTGGGGGAGGTGCATCTATTAATTAGTCAAGAAAGAAAGTAGTGCAAACTTACCATTCTTGTCGACACCTTATTGCAAGCCCGACTAAGCTCTCGCTGTCTACAAACATCAATGCAGTTGATTTGATTTTGCGCTTGCTTGTAGGGCTTACGTCTCGTTTCACAAAGAAAGGTGTTTGCTAAATATTTTTTTTTTTCTTAAGAGCAGAGTTATTTTTTGTGGTTATACTTTAAGGGCACCAGGGTAAGCCTTATACTCCGCAAGCATTTTGGGCCATGTTGAGGAGCATTTTTTTCGGTAATTATTACAAGTATTGCTGTCATATAGCATATTTTCCTGACTATAGTCGTCAAGGGCAAATTTTAGGTCAAAAATAAAAGTGTTTGCTTAAATGTCGATTAAAAGGTTAAAAGGCACAAACAAACAGGACGAAAAAAGAGACACGTACGACATGGACAGGCGCCAACTTCCAAATGATTTATTGAAACACGAATCATCGTCCAACTCAATCCCAATCGCCTAAACATATGCAACTGATAAAAATCCTTATCGCTCATTACACACATCCTTCAAGAAACAGAATTTCTTTGGTTAACAGATAAAGAGATGGCATACTTACGCACTTGTCAGCCGCTTTGTGTATACAGAAAGCCTCGATTATTTCTCTTTCCATTTTTTCATTCCCTTTCTTGAAAGAGCTGCGCAATAGTTTCCAGACAAGTTTTAAGATGTAGCTCATTCCAGACATGCTTTTAGATCTAGTGTTGAATTTTTTTTGTTAGAAAATTTATTGATAAACAAGGAGCATATCCCAAAAGGGGCATGGTCACCCGCTTCTTGCTTTTGAAAAAAGTGTTTTTCAGCGTGAAATATGCTTTTCTAAGAACCACATAATAATAAAAAAATATGCAAAAAAAAACAAGAAACCTTGTAAATTAAAAAAGATTGAAATTGATTAAAAAAAACTTTTCCTACCCAGTGCCTTTAATCAGTTTAACAATTATCATCGCAAAAGATTGGACTAAAAATTAAAAAAAGAATGGCCAGCCAAATCTTCTTTGAGATTTTAAAAAGGGGTGGTCCAAAGCTTAGCAGTTCCAAACCTGCAGCCAATGCTTTACTCTAAAAAAAAAACAACAAAAAAACATACTCACTCATGTGTTGATGCTTGTATTTCGTGCTTGCTCTCAAGGTTAAGATGGCTAACAGCGTCAGACAGTAAGTGTTTCAAAAGTGGTCTTGCTCCATGTACAAACAGGTTCTTTCTGCATGCATAAAAATCATAAGTTACCAAAAGAGTTTTGCAAAGTATCTGAGTAGCATATGCATCTTCAAGGTGAACTGGCCCAGAATTCATTAAGAGAACTCTCCTTTTTATATTTTGACTGGGGTGTACTCGGATGCCTGTTTGTATTGTGCCATATGATTGATGTATCACACTTGTAGCTTTTGCTTCATTGCCAATACAAGGTCATGTTGCTACAACATCCGATGTAACAAAGTTGTGCACATAACTGTGTTACAGGCAAAACTGCGTTACGTGGAAAACCACTTTACGTAGAAAACTACATGACATTTGATGTTATTGGCATTTGTGCATCACATGAAAAACGGGTTTACACCTCGTGTATTTTCGAGCATCTGTGCGTTACATGTGAAACTGCATTGCATTCAATGTCGTTTTGAGCATTTGCAGTTTACATGTGAAACAATGTTGCACGTAACTGTGACTTCAGATTTACATGTGCAAAACTGCATTACATCTGATGCCAGAGTTTTCATACCTTGCATCTGATGTCTTCTTGAGCATTTGTGCATTACTTGGAAACTGCATTGCACATAACTACGACATTGTATGTATTGACGAGGAGATGGAACTATGGGTGCGCAGTTTTATTATCATCATCATTACCACACGCAATTGCTGTGTGGCAAACAAATCCGGCACCAGCACTCGCCTAGCGTACGTTGCGTTGCTTCCATGGTCGCTGCATACTTGTTTGCAATATGGTGTGCACTTGCTGCATACTGCAGTGTTCGAAACATGCTTTTGAACCAGGTGTATGCAGCGCGGAGGACTGCAGCGCGGCAGACGCTGTTCGCCGTCGTTTCTGGTGCAACGCTGCACTCGATGACAGGATCGCAGTTGAGCTTTCCTTCAATGAGACGCTGCTTGCTTTCGCCTATGTCGTCCATGATTGTCGCAAGAGACAGGGTAACTGAAAAGAGACGTACATGTTTTGTGAATCTATCACAAAAACAAGGACAGCGCAGCTGTCCCGGCAAGGCTGCGCACGCAGGTAATTCCACACCGGGGGGGGGTTCTGCGTATCATATGTTCGAGAGCCTCTCTCATCCCCTCCGTTCCCCCCCTCTGAATCTGCCACTACCACACATGCGCTTGTTTTGTCTTCCAAGAGGACTTTGATGACATTTAACGCCAGAGGGGACTAGGTTACTTTTATCTAGATGCGTTTAGGAGAAAAGAATAGTGTTGCTACCTCTCACTAGCCTTGCGTCGTCGTCTTCTATGGCAGCGAATGCACTAACGACTGCGGTTGGAGGGTTCGTTTGCCACGCAGCAATAGTTCCCGAGGTGGCCGCTAGGCAGTGTCGCTCCTCAATCTCCTCCCCAATACGGGCAAAAGTGCGTGACACATGACGTTGTTCCGAGCACTTTCGTAAAAATGCGTAACTCCAGACCAGAGTCACGGCATCCCCGCCGAATGAGGCCCAGCAGGCTGCGAACACCGAGTTCTGGCACGGCTTTTTCGGCGCGGTGTCCGTCATCGTGGTGTCGGAGCTGGGAGACAAGACGTTCTTCATCGCTGCCATCTTGGCCATGCGCCACTCTCGGCTCGCCGTCTTTGGTGGTGCCATCGCAGCCCTTGCCATCATGACGGTGCTCTCCGGTGAGCCCTCATTGCCATCATGGCCAATATTCTTAGACCTACCAGTTGACAAGCTCTACGGAAGAGCGTTGCTCAAAAATGGTCCTTCCCCATTGCACGCACGCTAGCGGATACGGGCAGATTGCATTCCTAGCTCCCCCACTCCCTTGGGCAGTGGAGAAGCACCGTTTTTGAACAGCGCTTATTTGACGTAACTGTTTGTGGAATGTGTTCACCATAAAAACTACAGTAGAATCACTTTCACTGCCGTCAACAATGTATCCAACATTCCACCGGTTCCGTCGCTTCTTTCTATTTGGGCTGGGCTGATAGTGTAGCGAACGTCACGGAGCGGACGTGCCACGAAGAGGCGCCGGGTATTTTAGGAAGCTCGTGAATTGACTTTGATCTAGTAATATTGCATGTGGCCTCTTGTACAACAGTTATGTTTTCACTTCTACTATAGTTCCTATCTTACATACTGTGTAATGCCGTCAAAGCCACGCGCTTGCAACCAGTAGCTTCGACGGTGTTGTAGGCTGTGTACGAAACGGGGCATGTAATTGTAATTGAAATGACTATGTGCATCTGGATTTTAACTGGGAAGATGGCGATAGACAGGTAGCATCCCTCTTTGTTGCACATTTTCTGCACCTGCTTCTGCAGTGTGGCTCATACAGTCAGTAGGTTGGGAAGGAATGTGAACATACCTTAAATCATTAAAAGTGGCAAACTTCCCGACAAGTTTTCTTTCTGTATCTTGAGGGCTGAATATCATTCCCAGGCACTTCTCCGATGTGTTCCCTTTTTGAAATCGACAGATGTGCTTGGAAGTGCACGAATGGCGACATCCTGGCAGTGGTGCCTGGCCTCTTAAGGCTTAATGATTGCTCGCACCAAGTTTTTATTTCGGTATTGCTCGTCACTTTATATTTAAAGAAATATATAGAGAACAGAATTGTAACCGAAAGTATAGTTCCTGGACTATCCACAAGAGGTGCTAAATGTTAGGAAGCTTCAGAGATTTCTCTTATGACGTGGAAATCATGGATCCTAATTGTCACGAATAAACGAAAGTAGACTAGTTTGAATGCTGAAAATAAACCAGTGGGTCATCTGATGCTTCGTCATCAGACGAGAAAGTATGTAATGAAGGCGTAACCTGTTGCTCTCTTTTCCCATGTTTCTGTAGCTCTCCTAGGCTTCGCAACCACCGTCATTCCGCGTGTGTACACACACTATCTCTCCATCGCCCTGTTTGTCTTCTTCGGCATCCGCATGATCAGAGAGGGTAAGTTGCCCACTAATATGCACCACCTTAAAGTGATGGATTTACATGGGAACCCTCCAAGGGTCTTTCTTGTTCTCGTTGGTCCGATCGCATAATATCGCATGATGTCGTGGCGTCACGTGACTTTAATTTGCCTTCTAAATTTAGCGGGGAAGTTGACGTCACTTTTCAGTTCGGGGTGTCAACTGATATAATGATGTTATCTCACATCAATTCCCCCTATAAAATTAGTGGTAACATTTTGCATCCCACGTTCTGAGCAGGGTTTGCATGGGCCCTTGAAGGCCCTTGAATCTGGAAATTCCACGTTCAAGTCCTTGAAAACCCTTGAACCTTGTCATTATAGTCGCCGGCACTGCCCTCTACGATAATGAAGCCTAATTTTCTTACATTCCTATAAAAATAACAAACTTTTAAATTTCAGACGAGCCGGTTTTACTTTGTGGTATCGCAATTAAGACGTTTAGCGGATATTTGTTTAGCGCTTTGCCCCATAAGTACTAGTTTCGGTTTTTTCTGTTCGACTACCTTCTGGTCTTGCTTTGGTTTTCCTTGATGGTTCGCGGTCATTGCACTTCCCCAGCCTGTTTGTTAGCTGCGCTTGATTGGCTCAGTCCGCATACGCCTCAGATGGCGCATGGAGCACGTGGACGCACCTGAGGTTGCGTGCGACGCCCAGGAAGCGCGGCTTGCAATGGTCGTGCCCAACGTAGAGGGAAGACGTTCAATATCTCATTTGTGGGAGAGTCAATGATGAAAAAAAGTGACATCAGTTGTGTGAAACACGGAGACAACAACAACGATAGCTCCCACCAGTCACTGCACGCCATGCGTAAGTGGACTGTCAGCTGACCAGCAGGTGTTAAACCTGAACAACGCGGTTGAGATTCACGAGTTGGTAATGAAAGCATTCGCAGTGCATTAAAGAAGTATTGCTATTATAAAATTACCAGGTACAACACTACGCTTTAAAAAGAAGTTTCTTTGCAGGGCCTTGTAGGTCCTTGAAAACCCTCAAATTGTTTTCTCTTCAAAACTTGTACGAACCTTGCCGAAGTCACAAAACATGAGATCACAGTGTCACGTGACCTGACATCAGATGATGTTACGGCACGTGGCATAAACTTCCCCACTAGTGAAAAAATCGTTATGGTGTTGGGTGATGTCACATTCTCCCCGCTAAATTTATTGAAGAAATGCATCCACAAAATTCCGATAGAAAGTGCTGCTTGTCAAAAACCCAGTCAGACGCCATCGCGTCTCCAATGTGTTTGACAGCGGCACGTCTATGCCAAGCGAGTTCTTTTGTCGGCTGTCTCGTAGAGGCCGGAGGCGTCTGTCGCAGTCCGACCTGCTTCAAACCATGCGACTAATGCCCGAAAATTAATTTCCAGCATATTACATGGATCCCAATGAGGGCTTGGAAGAGTACGAAGAAGTCCAGAAAACGCTGAGCAAAAAGGAGCTCGACGTAAGTCTGCCATCCAGCTTGCTACCGTGCCTGTTGTACCTCTCGAGCGATGTGGGGATAGATTCCTCAGATCGGCTTTTTGCATGCTTTGTGTGCCCTTTTCAGGAATCCCTGAGCGCTTTTAAAAGATATGTGGACAAGTGTGGGATTGGGTGTAGCACGTGCTGCCAAAGTTACTGGGGTTTCTGGACGAATAGATACGAGTTTACACCGACACTCGCTGCATGGCAAAAAAAACGGGGACTTTTGCAGTTAAAACGCGTCGCACAGCGTCGGGAACCGGTCGGATTCGACAGACTGGCTCAAAGACTGGCGATTTTATAGTCATTGTCGAGATGAGGAGGGCAGGGCGCCCCTTTCCAAGATGGTGAGTAGTGTCTCTACTCGCCATCTCCTTAAAACCAGAGTGAAAGAAAGTGTCTGCCGCTCGCACAGGGTTCGACGTTTGGCATTGGACCGCCAGACCCTGCGCAAGATGCAGATGGCGCTGTTGTTCGCACCAATTGGAGGGAGGCAGAGGGCTGAGGCAAAGGCAGCTAGCCCTTGCATCTACTCACTAATCCTTCCAATCGGAGCTCGGCGCCCTGATGTTACCGCACGCCCTCATCCCCTCCTCCTTCAGTTTCTCCGTCTATAGTTACTGACAAGGTGTGAACGGCGGGGCATCCCGTTCAAACTCCCGGCCCCAGCACGCACTCGTTGCCTTTCAGTGTGCTTTCACCCCAATACCGGAGGTTGGAAGCTCACTCTGGAGGTGGGACAACTGAAACTGCTCCCTGCTGTTCTCATTTTTTTCAGTGACCATAGACCATTGCACTAAGGGCTCTCTGGGCGGCGCGATTCTGTTAGACTGCAGCGCCAACCACATACATCTGGGCATTTCGGTGGATTTGTCGGGCTATAAGAGGGAAGTGGCACATGCCCGACCCCGACGACAGGCGGCAGTCCGGCCGTCCTCCGTGGTTATTTCAATTGATTCAGCGGGGTAGAAGAGGAAAATGGCACGCACCGTTTTCATCGTTTGGGTGGTTGCGGTGGGTTGCACCGTCGAAACTGCCCGAACAAGCAGGCTCGTTTCCCTCTCTCCTCTCACCCTAGTGAAACGGTCTTTAGCCGAGCGGTGGTTCCGTCCCCCTGTTGCAGGACTCGATGCAGGCGTCGCGGGATGCCCTGGACGTGGAGAGTGGCGTGGTGTTCCGGGTGCACCGGCGCTTGTGGGGGTTCTTCTCGAGGGTCTTCTTCCAGGCACTCACACTCACCTTCCTGGCCGAGTGGGGGGACCGGTCTCAGATCGCCACCATCATCCTCGCAGCACGAGAGGTGGCGTTTCGCTCTGTTGTAGATTTCATATTTTGTTTTTTTAATCTTGCTCGCTTACTTATTTTCTTTTTCTTGCGTGTTGAATGCAAATTTTGGTCTTAGTAGTGCTGTAGCATGTCCGTGGAGAATATTTATTTATAAAAGACACACTATTTGATGGGCAAAATGTTAATCAATGTCTGCATGCTTCCAACCTATAGCATTTCTCTTATTGTACTCTTGACACACGACACTGTGCAGTGGCGCGTTGATTTCGCGCCGGGAGGTCAGTCTTTTGGGCTGCCTTACTCTGCCTTTGTTTGTTCAGAACTGTAACTTTCTTGTTTTTACGGTATTCGAAATAGTCGAATACCGAGTTTATTAGTAATTTCTGGATACCGGCTCGAGGTCGAGCGACATGGATTCGTCGTTCTGTTACAACGAAGGAGCGTGCCAAAATGGAAGTTGCCTAAACAAAAGATTAAGTGCCATCAAAAAGTGACACCACAAAATGAAACATTGTTTTTGTCGCTTTCTCACATTTGCTGCTACATCTGAAAAGATGTGACAGGCCAGTTGGGAGGGGCAGCGAGCAAGCCAAACTGAAACCACACGACAGCGTACACGATTATACTCGGACATGGCACTCCAACGATTTTCGCACATTCGGTACATTCGGCTTGGATTTGATCCTCAACGTTTATAGCTTACGAAACAAGCAGTGTTCACCCCCTCTACGCGCCACTGCAAAAAACCGCCAGATGATCTGGTGCCGATTGCATGACGCCAATGTTTGCCATAGCCACATGCCGGGGTTGGCAAAGTGCAGGGTAGGCACCAACTTGTAGATATTGTTAAGCTTCAGCTGTTCCCGTCACTGCAGCGATTAACACGAGCCACTACCCGGATGCTCGTTAAGGCATTGATTGTCTCGAGCCCAGATCAAGTGCTCAAGCAGAGGTCGCATCCAGTCTATGAGCAGCTTGTTACTACCATCACCAGGAGTGCCCCATGGAAACAGTGCAACTGCATGACTAGGTCATCAACTTTTGCAAAGGAGAGAAAAAAGCCTGCTTTTATCCTTGAAATTACACCGCAACAATGACTTTTCTCAGTCAGTGGTGTTGCGTATGATTCTAGTTGAGTACCACTGGCGTGAGTAAGACAATGCAAAATGGGAAACACTACAACCCAATATAGTTGCACGGCTTCTTTAACCACTTTTGCACATGATGGGTCGGCAAATACCAGTAAAGGATATATGAAATATTGCTGTGATGGTTTGTGCTCAAACTGCATGCGGATCCAAATATTGCACGTACCGTAGTTCCCGCTTCCAGTGCCGGGCAAAAAGCTCCAACTGTCCTCTGTGTTTCCGTGTGGCAGCTGCATCATTTATTTTTTTGAGTTTGCCATTCTTGTGGGCTTTTTTTGTTGTACTCCATTGAAAAAAATGAAAAGGTTCTGCTTCCATAACTTACACCATTAATTTGGAAGCTGTTTGTCCTCGTTTTAAAATGTCCCAGGCATGGAACGTGTAAATTTTTATGGCACATTTTGTTTACAACATGCTGGTTCTAGTATATGTGGCGGAAGTGGTAAAATATTGCAATTGTGGTTACAATCGGTCAAAGTACACTGCAGCGACCTCAGGGGCTTAGACCCTCTTGACGGCATATTGGGGCTTTGTAGAATCCAGCTTCTGTATATGTATTGTCTTTGTCCTCTAATGGTGGGAGGAGCTGAAAACATAATGCACATTTTGTGGGGGAGGGGGTTGGGGGTCGGTCGGGTCTGTGGGGGGGGGTGGTCAGTGGTGGCGAGTGAGTGACTGACTCCAAACCTCCCCCCCTAAGCCTCCCAAGGGCGACTTGTTTTTAATGAATAAGGCGACACACGCCAGGTCTTTTTTTTAGTATGAAATTGCAATTATTAGGTCAACAAAATGACATCAAATCTCCCTGCTGACCCCCTCCCCACCTCGGTCGAATTCCCACTGCCCCCTACCCTGAGCCTCACCCACAAATCTGGCCCCGTGTGCCTGCCAACCGTATCCGTAGGATTAAGATGCGTTTAGACTTCTTTCTGACGTCTTCTCGATTATTTTGGTTACCCCTTTATAAAGACTTGGTTTGGTTTCGTTCCTGTCTGCTCCCACGCCCTCCACCCGGCAGTTCAAATCTCGACGGAGTAGCAGACTTTCACTCGTTTTACGTCTTTTTCCACCAGGATCCGGTGGCGGTGTCACTGGGGGCCGTCCTAGGCCACAGTGCGTGCACCCTCCTCGCCGTCCTGGGAGGCAGGATCGTGTCGCAGAGGATATCGGTGCGATCTGGTACGTCGCTCGTCTTTCCCGCGCCGCGTCGGTGTCGTACCGCGCCGATTTCCGTCTGGGGAAGACGAACGGCAGTCCGCCCGCCGGACTGGCTGGGAGCCATCGAAGGTTTCAGCTTGTCTTAGGGGTTCGAAACACGCACCCACGTCATGGTGCTCGAAACACGTCTCCGACTGGTCCGTTTGCCGCGTCCTCTTCCACCCGACGACGTCACACGAGCGTCACGGTGTTGCCAGCTGCGATTCTGGCAGCGTCGCAGCAGCGGTGGTAGACGTGGTAGATGCACGTTCCGCTGCAGGTTGCTCCCCAACTTGGCAGCCCACAAAAGCTTCAGCAGCCAGAAGTTGGGACGCCGCGACGACAGCGGCACTCTTGTTTGCTCATACTTTCTCCCAGAAGCTCTATGCCCAACCACCAGGATCGCGACATCCGACACCGCGACACTCCGGCTTTTGTGACATCCATTGTTGCCACTTCAGGTCCGCTTTAGTTGCACGGGCGGAATGGGACGCTAAGCACACTGGCCGGAGATGCGCTCCAGGCACTGCCACCATGTTGAGCAAAGCTCGAGACTGGGGTGGGGATGACAGTGGACAAAAGCGAAACGTGCGGTGCTGTTTGAGTTTGCCTCCCGTGTCTCCGGTCTCTTACCTTGTCTATGGGATAAATAGACTGGTACCCGACGAAGATAAAGGCTCGTGATATAGGGCACGTTTTAATGACATTTATAATGACAATATGACCTTCATTCGATCGCTGACCGAGGCTCCCAGGTGGACTGCACTTTTCTTGACTTTGCCAAAGCATTTAGTAATGTGTGTTGCAGACTTTTTTGAGAATTGACCTGCTATTTTGAGACTAGTGTTTATTATGAAAACTAGTGGTTTAATGTTTTCTTCCAAGTCATCTGCACTTAGGTAGTGGCCACGGCATAAACTGATTTTCTCGAGTCTTTTTTTATTGTAAATTGGTCTAGCACATCTTGCATGCAGTTGTTTTTTTCTTTAGGTAGTGTTTTTCTGCGGAGCTCTCTAGTACCAGCTTGTGTAGCTGTATGATTTCCTTAGTGTCATTTAAAAGAACCTCAATGGCTGTTTCATTTTCCTTTTCTCGCAGTGACATTTATAGGAGGAATTGTGTTCCTGTGCTTTGCTGTGTCATCAGTATGCCTCGGCAGTGGAGAAGATTCTCTGAAGAGCCTCTGAGGGGTTGTGGAATGTGGCATTGGGACATGCTCTTTTTTCGAATTTCTTTTGGACCTGAACTGGGTGACTAGGCATTCTACATCTGTCGTAGGCTCGAAGCCGTGTGAGCGACCGTGCCTTTGTGAGAAAGTCGCTGTGGGATGACGACCACATCAGTCTGCATTTTGAAGAACCAAATGGGGAACGTGGAAGTAAGGTGACCGCATTCCCAGCAGTAGACCTTATGCGAAATAGCTTAGTGGTCTGACAACACTGAGAGCGTCGGCATTTTAATGTTGGCAAGCGTCGTTGGTACGGAAGCACGGTGGAGGCATCGGAGACAGTCGTGTGCGATGGCGTGACAGCTGCGTTTTTCACCTTACGACCTTGTAATGTGGACGAACAGTTTAAACAACTTGCCGCACCTGTCTGACAAAACTCTCGGCGGCCTCGTTGACGCAGCGGAGCAAATCCTGGAAGCTTACACTGTGCCTTCTTCGGTGCAGACGAACATCAGCGATTCAAGGTAGGTATGTAAACTGTGGCCTCTTTGTTTAACATCGTAAATAGGCTCGCTGCTTTATAGTTGGTAATCGCATGGGTGCAGGTGTATTGTATGTGCGTTGGTTGAGCACTCTGCGTGCATTTTGTAGCGCGCTCAGACAAGTTGTTGGCTCAGGGGGGCCTTTGAGAGTTTCGTCAGACAGTTGCAATAGGTCGTTTAAACTGTTTGTCCACATTCCATGGTCGTAAGGCGGAAAACACAGCCGCCGCGCCATCGCACACTGTCCATACGGTTGTCACTGATGCCTCCACCTTGCTTCAGTAGCGGCGACGCTTGCCAACATTAAAATGGCGATGCTCTCGGTGTTGTCAAACCACCAAGCAATTTCGCCTAAGGTCAATTCTTTTTCGTTGTATGGCTGCAATGCTTTCATGTTGTTTTTTCATCTTTACGCTGTTGTTTCCCTCATGAGCTTCAAATCAGCTTGGAAGCGAGACATTTATGTAGGTCTCTCGTAAGAATGTAATTAATTTTATGGAGCTTTGCTACAGTTTGCTCAGAAAAGTGCAGTTGGGCACAGGGATATTAATTTTTGTTTCAAGCGACTTCAGCTTGGTCTGTGTTTGAAAAAGAAACTTTTGGAAGACTACCAACAGAAAAGCATATTGTTTTTCTTCTCTTACATTTGTATTCTGTGCTTTCCTGCGAGTTTGTTTGAATTACCGATTTTGCAATTTAGTGCTTTGGCATACCATACTGATCTTTATTACCGTTGCGACACATGTGTTGGGGTTACTGTTCTGATTGGTGCTCCAAACTTGGAATGCCTGTCATTGGGCACCTCTTTGTCTTTGCAGGAAAGTTTAGTTATCTTATAGGGCTAAAAGTGGATGTAATATTTATAGCATTCTGTTAGTCGCAATTACAGTGAGTCAGAAAAAGGCTTAGTTGTGAACCCACAAAGAACATGTTTGTCATTTGTCACCTTATTCGTTACCGACTATTGTACCTTCGAGCCACCTTGCGTACATAGATAGTGATCAACTTCTAGCAGTGTCTTTCGAGGTATCAATAGTGGTTATAAAAATTCTATCCTACTGTTGTAATCCCCAAACTTTTTTGAAGGAATTTGTTTCAGTATGCTTAAGAGGATACTATATGTTTCACTCTATATTCCTTGATGCCCATTTTTTTTTTCTGATTTTTTTAGTTTTTTTTTTTTCAAGGTATGCACTTTCCAAGAATGTCTCCTTCCCTGCTCGTGTCAATTTGTTGCATAAAAATGTTCAGAAAATTTTTTTGCATCAAGATTTTATTTTGTTTCAAGTCTAGTTCTGTACCATAGGTTGCTAATAAGAAAACTGAAAAAAGATTCTAAAAGGTGCGAGGAAAACGGTCATCTTAGGATCACACGGATGAGGGCCTTCCATCTTGAAATGTGCATCGGTGGAAGGCTGGCAATTGGCACTCATTTAGCGAAGAATGGCCGAGTTCATTTAGTGAAGAATGGCATTGCTCAAGTGCTTTATTCGTTGTATATGACATTGCACATTATGTAGTATATAATTTTGAAAATTGAACTTTTGCATAGTTTAATATTTTTGTTAATGATTTCTTGTATAAAAAAAGCAAAAACATGAAATTTGACTTTCATAAAGGGTGTATTCATGCGCGACTAGTGAGCGGTGACAGCATTCAATGCCGTTTGTTTTGGCGCTATCTAGCGACTGAAGCAAGAAATGCATTGGGTATGCCTAGAAGTGGCGGCTCAGACGTGAGTTTTGTTGGCGTCGCCTAGCCTGGTGCCCGAAGCAAGGAATGCTGGGTAGGCCAGAAAGCCCTAGGTGTAAAACATGCCGGTGGAAGCCCCTGCGGTCCAGTCGGAACAATGGAGTAAAGCATGTGACTGCCAAAGTGCACTTTTACTGCGAACTAGAGCACCATATAGGCTCCTTGCACTGACGTCACATCGCACACTTTTGAACACCAAGTGAGAGGAGGAGAGGGAAGCTGCTTTTGTAAGAATTTTGAGTGACAGGTTAATCTTCTATAATCTTCTGGGGGGAGAATAGCGACGCCTGTACAAATCCGGGAGGTACAAAGAAGGGTCCTGGTAAGAGGGGAGCTCCTTCTTCCCCTCTTCTTTGGAGGGCAACGGAAATGACGTCCTGTGCAAGGAGCATAGGCTCCTTGCACAGGACGTCATTTCCGTTGCCCTCCAAAGAAGAGGGGAAGAAGGAGCTCCCCTCTTATCAGGACCCTCCTTTGTACCTCCCGGACAAAATTCTTACAAAGGCAGCTTCCCTCTCCTCCTCTTACTTGGTGTTCAAAAGTGTGCGATGTGACGTCGGTGCAAGGAGCCTGTAGCTCCTTCGGAGCAGAGTAGCGCAATCTAGAACGCCATCTCTCGGCGACTAGCGGCGAACGCCCGAAGGTTTCAACTCCGGTCAGAAATGCATGGGGAACGTGAGAAAATCGTTGTTAGTTCAGTATTGTGAGGATGTACGGAACAACAATAGTTTCTGACAATAATAAAACATTTAGAATAATTTGCGCTAAGTTGTGCGTCACGTAAGGATGTAATTAAAAAAAAAAAAAAAAATTGCCTGAGAGGCATTATGCAGCAGACGCGGGAACATCACGGCGACGTCACACCGTTCACGTGACCCGCTCCGGCCAACCCGAAAAGCCCATTTCCGCTGCGTAGGCTGCGTACAATAACCGTTTGCTTCAAACGCCATTGCCTTGGAAATTGCTTTCTCAAAAATTTCACACGCATTATATATTATGAAAACTTTGATAAAGTGTTTAGTGCTTTAGCAACTTCCCGACATACTGGTTTCGAAAAGTGTGAATTCGGTGTTTATCTTTTAGTCGGCCGTGTTGCGTCGATCTCCATGTGTTCTCCCATAGGGCGGGCCGCCTCCTGGAACCCTGAGCAGCACGTGACTCGCGCCGAGCTGTCATGTTGTTGGCAAGACACGTGGATCAAAGGATTGTGCTACTCTGCTCCGTGGGAGCTATACTATAGTGCTCTGCTGGGAACAAGTGTAAAGGTCCATACGCACATTTGTATTTGAGCGCGGTGCGTAGCGAAGAGCGCTTGCGCCAAGCTTGTACACACAGTTGCATTGACATGCAGTCGACCGCAGTCAAGAGCCAATAAGAATGCGCTACTGTCGCTAAAATTTGCGACAAGGTGGCGGCGACAGCATCGAGCTGGTCGATCTAGGCCAACACCACCTAGACAGAAGGCCTCCGCATGGTTTTCTCTTCTATGAAACGTCATCACAGTCGGATCGCGCTCGGTCGGCTATTGGACCCGAGCCCGACCTTCGACGCGCTGATTGGCCACGAGCCGCAGCTGAACACTGACGCAGCACTCGTGCCCAATCTCTCGCCTCGATCGATCTGACTATGATGACGCGTGTGGAGGCCTTTCTATATTTATAGGCACGATCCCGTTGGCTTCTCCCACAAAGCTTGAGCCATCGCAGCCTTGGAAAAAACAGTCGCCACTGCTCCTCAAAACAAGGCGAGGGGTGCGAGCAAGCACGTGACCCTCCTTTCCTTTCTCGGCTTCTGATTGGTCAACCGGAAACCGCTGCCGGTACTGCTAACGTTATTAGAACCAACTCAGTTCTGGAACTCCGCACCTTTGCGTGGCGCCTGTTAGAGCGCGCGCGCTCCGCATTAATACTCGCTATCATCATCATTGACGGCGCGTTTGTGGCCGTTGCCGTTGCATCTGGCCAACGTTATTCATCTGGCCTACTGAGCTTACGGATGTTCGTGGCGCTTTTTCTGACAGTAGCAGACGACTTTCAAATTGTTTCTGCTGCAGTTGGTAGTCATTGGCACATCTACTAATACAGTATGTACAAACTCGCCCTGATTGTAGCCACCGGATTGTGGCGCCGACGAATTTGGGTTGTTCGAAACGCTTCGCGCTGTGAGCACAGCTAAAGCAGCAGCATTTTAAAATAATGCAAAGCGTATGCCAAAACGGTCGTAGCGCTTTTCATGCTCAAATTGTAATTTTTACAGGCGAAATGGGCAAAAATTAACCAAAAAACCATGCTGAACCTCGAAAGGAGTCGGGACTCGCAAGCAGCCGCGGAGCAGTAGCAGACGAAAACGCGTAGAATAATGCGCCGGCAGCGCCACCTAGTTGCAAAAAAATCGGACACGGTTTCGGACCCCCTCCAATGTACAGCGGCTATGGGAAGTTCCATAACTGAATTGATCTAGTAACGGTGGGTACTGCTGCATCCAAAGTTGAGCCCACTAATCTTTGTGCCAATTTACTGGATTGCACATTCCTGCTTGGTCGCTGCAGCAGCGTGATGCATGCAAGAGGGTCGTCCTTTGGACGACCATCTTGCATGCGGCGAAATCTTGTTTTTGGAGCATTGCAGAGGCTGGCGGCAGCATGCTGGAGACACATTTTTTACTCACTCGTCGTCATTCGCCGAAGAAGTTTCTTAAGACCCATGTGAAAACGGTGAGACTTGCCTTTGAGAACACGTGGACATTTTTACGAAAGCGCAGCGCCTCAGGAAAAAAAAGCAAAACTCGCCAAGAGCAAGTTTCGCCGGTCTCGCGGCGTGATCAAAGCTTCCCTGGCACGCCGAATTGCTGCGTCTCCGCGCCTTCGAAGTTCGCACGCTTGCAGACCGATCAAGAATCGACGCCGTGTGGATGTGTTTTGCGAGTGCAATGTGTGTGAAGCCGTATGTGCCTCTGGAGCAGCATTTCACTTTACTTGATGACTGTACACGATGTCACAAAAAAAAAAAAAAAAAATACAGCTTTTTTTATTGCAAAAATAAACTAGGCATCACAGAACGCTCATTGACCCCGTAAGTGCATGATGACGTCACAACATGGTGTTTGGGCCCAAACAAACCGTTGCTAGGGACGTTGCTATGGGCTAATGCATGGAGACTCCACACGAGGCTAGATTTTAGCTTACAAGTAAATAATTTTTTGTAAGCAACCTAACTTCTTGATATCTAATTATTAAGATCTTGTCATCTCAGCGTCGCATCGCAACGATGAAAGCCATTTCTCAAGTATTCCACTCCGCTTTGCTTTGGTAGCAGACGACACTATAGGTTTGTTGGCCTCTGTTGCAGTGGGCGTCTTCATTGAATTGCGTCGGTAAACGAGCAACACAAGCGAGTGCATCACCATGGCCCGTAGAGGCCTCCTAAATGTGCGTTTTTTTTCTGTGAAGAACCCAGCTTAGTTCAGAAGGGTGAAAATTCCATAAAATCAAACCACGTCATGCAGATCAGTTACGACGGCGACCTGAAATGCATTACCAGCGTAGTGCAGGCCAGCGTAAGAAACAAATCGTACGCCGTCAAGGTTTGTCGTTTGTTGTTATTATTGAGGTTATTAAATAATTGCATGTGTATCGCAATTTCACTTTTTTTTTTTTTTTTTTTTTTTTGCATACATTAAATTTAGTGGATGTGCTCTTTCGGTGACGATCTCCATCGAACACGCGATGAGTATGTACAATTTGTAATAAACTCACCTTTTGTTTTTGATCCAGTTCTTTCGCGTTTTGGGGTTGCGGAAATCTGAAGAAACTGCGGGAATCTTTCTCCACGCGATGGTTACAACCAGGTACGAAGCACCCTCCCATAACGCGAGTCCGCGAACAAAATTTGGGATCTCTACCGATCGCCTGAAGTGCTTTCCTCACGGGTGCACTGCGGTCTTTTAGCCGACGATCACCTCGATCGACGCCCGGACTTTCGATAAACCATATTTTGCATCGCACCCCACTATGAATTCTTATGTGTCTGAAACTCATTTTATTTCAAACAAATGCAATATCAGAATATCATCTTTATTCACCCGATTCAGACGCCGGCGCCTGCTTGGCCGGCGGGCGTGTGCCAGACGGCATTCTTGCATTCGTCGTCTGCTGCAGGCATCTTGAGGACCGGAAGTTGCAGTCGTAAATATTTCGGAAACAAGCGATTACTGGCACACTTCTGCCGAAACATATATGACATTCAAGCTTTCTATATCTGTGATTTTTAGAAGTTTAAATCCTACCCCGATTTTTGAACGGTCGGGTTTTCGTAGCGAAACGTAGCCACATGTATTTGTCCATAACAACGACCATAGCAACGGTTTGTTTGGACCCATGACGTCACACTTACGGAGTCAATTCTCCGCCCAAAGTTAGTGCTTAGTGCTAGACGTCACAACCACGATTTCAGTTAAAGCTTCAGATAAATGGCCAAGGTATTCGCTGCTACAGATTACATTCTTCGCT